CTGAGTTGAACCTCAAAATGATGAGCAGCTACAGTCTATCGCGTATTTCTGATATGTACCCGCTCTTGGTGAAATTAAATGTGCCACTTCCCGTGAGAGTATCTTCAGAAGAGAGACAAATTCCCAACATTTCTTTGATGTTCCAGACTATCAAGGTTGCAAATAATGTCCACGTCTCCAATCAGACGGATGGCTCTTTTCTGGATGGAATCCAGCAGCTTCAGGGTATGAGAATAATACTCCAAAAAGGTCTGATATGAGCTTTGTGAAGGATCAACATTTGCTGAGGTGTGTACAGTTTTCTGGTTTGGAACAGTGTTCCAAGCTTTTGAGAATCCGCATTTACAATTCCAGCGACGTGATTATGCCAAGACATATTGGTGTCCATTTTAACCTCCAACAAACTTATCAAAACAGAAAGCGGAATTGTGTATCCTGACATTATATCCGGTTCGGAGCTACCAAGTAGAGCACATAAATATGGCAAGTGAGATCTTGCCGAAACGTCGTGATATAATGTCAAAGAGGAACGGATGTACGTACATCCCGGGGATACATCCGGAATATACGAGCTTTCGGGAAGTATTATTTCCTTTTTCTGGAATATCTGAAATAAAAAATTGGAATAAACAATAAATTAAAGAACATATGAAAGTAACTCACTTGCATTCATTCACACAAATAAAAACGGTGTCAGATGAAAGATGTGACAAATTTTGAATATTCTGTCATATCACCAGACAAAATGGATTTAAATAAACTTTTGAATTATATAAATAATCTGCTAAACCACAAGATCTTTTACTCAGTCTGCAGTTACTTTTATGTGAGATGATACGAGAACTCACCAATGTAAGCAAAATGTCCTATACATGGAATACTGTATATCACATTAGATTTTTCTAATGCAATACTTGCAAGTTTGCAAGTGTTGTAAAACTATTTCTCACCTATATTCTGAAACTAAAACTCCCCTCACGTGTTGCAGATATTCTTCTTTCCTAATTATCCATATTTTGAGACAGAAAAAAACTGAGGTGTGATTTGACTGAACTTCGAAATTTTCTCCAAAAATGAGATTGAATGTATATGATAATGGTAAACATACCATGATTGAAAACTGAAGAACTTCACAACATTTAAGTTTATAAGCAGTTTTTTTTCGCTGATCCTTTTTATTTCTCAACTTCCTCGACAGAGGTCTAAGGAGTTATTTTTATAGTGGAGATGAAAATACCCAAAGAAGATCGATAAAAACTGCTTTTTCTCTACAAAAAAATTACTTACTTTATTTACATTACTTTATTTACCTACTTTTATTTACAAGAGTAAGAACAACCCTGGACCTATTTTTTTATTTGAATAAGAATCCCTATATACATTCGTAAGCAGTATATGTGCTTACATATTCATGAAAGTTGTATGTTAGGAATCACACGTCAAAAGGTAAGACACCGTTAGTCCTTAGCTCGCACAAGTTTCGACTTCTGAGGGTTGTCGTTCGAAGGGGTGCGATAGCTGGTTAACGGAAAAAACATATTTCAAACACGTTGAAAGGTAAGACCTCGTTAGTCCTTGAAATTAGGAATCAGCCTTAACTTTTGAAAGAAATAAATCCAATGAGAGTTATTATTATGATGATCACAATAAACTAAACTGATTGTATATGTTGGACAATACTTGAACAATATAAATTTATATTGCAGAAAAATCAGTTTGTTAATATGGTTTTTCCTATCGGTGCTTCTTGTATATTCCTGTCGTCGTGTGCCTGAAAAAAACGAATGATAGATATCTTTGGTGTATTCTGGTATATCTCAAAGTTTAAATTATGAAAAAATGGAACTGAACTTTTGAAATAGGTATAATAAAAATATAAATTTCTTCAAGTAGTAAAAAAACATCATTTCCCATATTTCGTGTCAAAACTAATAATATCTAGAACTGAGCACTAATTACCACAATCTATGTCATACTAAACGATTGCAATGGCCTGAAATCGTCTTTTGGGGCGAGACTAGCATAACCCTACTCTGTTCATTAAAAAAGTACCTGACATGAATACTTTATACACTAATGACAAATAAAAAATTGTGTTGATTTACCTATATCAACTTATAAGTAAACTATTTCTTGGAATTAATATACAACACATTCATTGTGGTGCATAATCTTTAAAAATAGTTGTGATAACTTATTGTTATGTTGTTGAGTATGCTATGATAGTTTATAAAATGCGTAGTATTGAACTTTTCATGTTACCATAGCGTTAGAGGCAGAGTTAAAAAAAAATCACTGTGTCATCCAAATAATAAAATAAGTGGGAACAATATTTCTTCAAAAGAAATTACACTTGCGTAACATTCAACACGTTCATCATTAACGATGACAAGCATTAATCTGACCATAGAATAACAACCTCAATGAATTACATTTTTGGTGTTTCGTCCTCCATTAATACAAGGGTCTTTTTTTACCTAGCTAAGGCCGGTCTGGGAGTTCTGAACAAGTTTTATACTCTTAGCCGGTCATATATCATGTCGGAACAATAAATTACTTGAATGAAGTCTTAATCATGTTTCGAAAATAATGAATGTGCTATCAATTTTTGTGGCATGCATGGCCATTGTGACTGCCGTATCAAAATAGAAACAATTGACTGTTGAAATTTATGGGACATTGTTGTAAGAAATGAAAGACTATCGATTGGTGGTTGGCATAACATGCCTGTTTTCTACGTGGTATTTGGAGAGATATACCAAACTGATTTTTTGTCTATAAATTGTAAACAAAAAGGAATTTGAAGTATGAAACCGATGGCCAGCCTGTACTTAAGCTATCAACTAAATCAATACATCCGCCTCTCTCTGTGACGCAAAAATATTAAAATTTTGTCAAGTCGGTAGAATTCATGATTTTCCGGGAATTTCTACCCGGAATCATTGATGTGTGTCAGAAAGTGAAGTTTGTTAAATCGCACGTCGAAAATAGTATTGAAGGTTTGGGGTTTGGGAAAAGTGCTTGTTATGGATTTATTCTACGCCAGAGGTGCCAGTTTTACCTTTCACTTTAATTTTATTGAAATGAAGAAGTGAACATGTTAAAACATATTTGTGTTAAATTCATATCAATACAGTATCGGAAACAGTTTTTGAAAACAATTATTTCTGTGTTGATAACGTTAGCAAACCGATCCCAATAATATTGTTACTGAATTTTTTTCACTGTATTTAGAATATATGCAGTTTCTAGTTTTATTATGACAATTACTCGCCAAGTCTGATGATGTACTTGTAGAGCGAACCTTCATTCAAGAATTGAAAGTTCTCACTATTTCAAATTTCAAGTAACTATATTTTTGTAAGTGTTTCTTCGAAATATTTGCCATTGGCCAAGAAGCAATTTTGAATTTCTGTTTTTGTGATTCAACCACCAGGAACTCATGGCAATTATCGACTATAGTGAGAAGCATTATTCATAACGGTGATACTATTGGTTGATATATTGGAACTCCAGTGTCTCGTGGCAAATAAATCTGAATTAGGTGTCACTAAGGTTCAAATTGTCCATTCGGTATGTCTTTGAAAACATTAAGATAGGTATGCGATGTTCAACCTAGCAAAGAGACGTTGCTTATAAATCCAAATAAAATATAAATGGCCAACCTGTGCTTAACTTATCGACAAAAGCAATACATCCGCCTCTCGCTGAAACAAAAACACAATGTTAAAAAGTGAAGGATATTAGATCAGAAGTGTATTCGAGTGAACTGTTGTCTGACTATTTCTTATGAATATCGTTAAACCTAAGAATGGCAGGAAGTTGAAGGACGTTCGCTGTCTAGTCCAGGATGTAGCATAACAATTAATCAAAAGCAAGCCGGAAGGAAGCAGTTCTGCAGAATGCGTTCTTCCAATAGAAATTTGAATGTTTGCTCAGAAATTGGCTGATTTATGATAATGAGTCAACACCAATGAATAAATCTCCCATTAGCAGATTTTTTCGTCACATGCTATTCTTTAAAAACATCATTGGAATTTACTTCCTGATTATTTTATGACGTTTCTAGGTTTCCACTCTTTTCGAATCGAAAACTTCCCAAAGATGAATCAAATATGGAGGGTGAATTATAAATTTGTTCAGAGCTGTTACTCTTGGATATAATTTGGATAAAAGGAATTTTTGTTACTTGTTAGTAAAAACAATGGCGACGAAAAACAACCTTGGTCAAAGTGTGAAAGGAGAAAAGGATTCACGTTATTTTTGTCAATTCAATAATTCTAGAAAAATTTGGTAATGATAAACTTTTGAAAAATCAAAATGGCTGAAGTGGCAGTTTTCGATTGGAATATTTTTCCTCAAAGGTATGTTAATAAGGGTACCCTTATTGTACATGCAAGTTGGGCATGTATTGACATGTGACTAAGCAGTGAAAAATTGAAATTCAACTTTCTTCCTAGAACTACAGCTCGGAATTTGTATACTGAACATGTACATTGAGTAATTTATCATGGCCGAAATTATGAGAAACACAACGACGAATTCGTGAATACTTAGTTATTCAGTTCCGTCTGTTCGGTGATATACTTCATTCTCAAATCGTATAGCTTTATTCCCAAGAACTATAAAATGAATATCAATTAGATATGCTCATAAATGTGTGAAACGAGCATTTATGGCTAGTCTGTAATTTCTAATTATAGAAACGATAATTGGCCAGATGAATAATTATAAGCAGTTTTTTGGTGGCGGGAAATTACCAAATCGGCGAACTGAAAATATGTTAAAGTATGTTCATCAAAAATTTCTTCAAAACCAGACGTTATAAATAATATTTATTATTATGTTGTTAGAAATTGACATAGTATCAATGAAATGCGTCGTTCGTAAATGAACAGCAAACAAATCACAACCTTCCTAATTAACATGTTGATACTTGAGAACAACCTCACATTTTATGGACCATGGAAACATCCATTTACGAAACTTTTTTTTTTCAGAAAATGATTGCAGATATCCCGACCAAATACGGATCAACATCAAATATAAGTATACAGCAACCGGAACTACAGCGCTTTCTAGTATAATACTAATTACTTTAACTAATTTATTGTCAGTCGTTTGGTAACGAATTTTATACTCGTATTATTAGTTTGTATATTCGTTCCATAATTAAGAATACGAATATAACATATAAAAAGAATTGGAAGTTATTACCTAAAATGGTCGTCGGAGGACTACTTGTTGAATACGCTGCAATATGGAAACTGGTTTTAACTCCGGTAACCTAGCTTTATGAAGTTGAAAATACTCATACAGCTAGATAACCAAAGAAAATATCAGTTCCACTACGGATGGCGATCAGAAGAACACATGTCTATAGAAAAATTCCGCGTTTGCACATTTTTGGAACACGTGATACTGCCGGCACATTCCGCACTAGAGGTTATAGCGAGGATTAAAAAAATTCGAGATTGAAACTCAATCTACCATCGCACATAAAGAACTGATCAAGCGGCTGTTTCTTTGGCAAGTGGGACGATTTGCTTTCCCCATCCGACTTCGGTTGTCGGCCACTTCTCGAAGTTTGTCGTTAGGAAAACCAGTTTCAAAAGCCAAGCCCCTATGTCACTATGTTGCCAAACTTTCTACTCTCAAGGCAATATTTGGATACGAATTGATCTGAACGTGCGATCATGAATTTATTACTCTCAAATCATGATTAACTTCTTAACATTGTGAGCATCTTTGCAAAACGTCGGCTGAATTCAAACTGAACTCAAAGTTCTACCTAAATGTATTCTTTCAAACCCTCTTTATTGGAACCCATCTGTGTCGTCATAAACTACCTGTAACCTACCTTATCCATCTAAAAAATCGTAACGATAATCCTGATCCTTTTCAAACCACAAGTGTCATTTCTGCCATTAACCCGGTCGACATGCACAAAGGCATCATTTTGTGGTGAAAGTTTCACTCACAGCCGAAGTACCGAAGCATTAACGTTTTATGGTAGTTATGGCACAAAATATTTATACAACCATTTTTTCTGAAGTACTATTTCAAATGTATGGAGAAAATAAAAGTTTGCAATATAAAAATAAAAACGAGATGGATTTGCGGAGAGCCAATTCAATTTCACATTTTAAATAACAAATCACACTTGCTGTGAAATTAGTTATGATTTTAGTGATCCTTTTTTAATGCATTTTCCTTGTGAGCATCAGCCGATTTGACAAAAGATTTTTGAACGCCCTATTGGCTTTGAGTTTCAAATCATTTTTTGAATTCACCAACAAAATTTTAGCCATTTTAGATATAAGTTGATAATTTTGAAAACATCACAAGATTGGGCCATCCAGGCGCTAAAACGACAAAACATTTCTGAGAAACTCTTGAGCCATAGCTTTACGTTTGTCATAAAAAATTAGCGAAAGATACCTTTTTTAGGAGCTAGCTGCAAAGCTATTACCTGAAATAATGAAGATGTATCTATTTTCTGTGCAATGCGAAAACTATGTTAGCGAAATTATCTGAAACAAACAGAACGTAGCAATTTGAAAAGATTTTTTCGGTTAAATACGGGAGTAAATTCAACTCAAAAATGCCTTTGTGGTGTTTCTTCAAATTGGTCGTGATATTTCTAACCTGTTTAATCAGAAAGAATTGAAATTTTATACATTTTATGTAAAAACATTGTTCAATATTGAGGCAGTTAACAATATCCATTATTCAAACAGTGGGTTCATACGATAACACTGGTCAACAAAATTTCAACTGTTTTATTGTCACATGAAAACTTATATCAAACTTTGGATCTACTAGGGTCACTAATCAATATTGTATCAATGAAAAAAAATTGACACCACAGGTTTTTGTCTTGGCATCAAAGCATATATTTTGATGAAAATTACAAAAATCAACTATACTCAGAGAAATTATTACTTACTGTACAATAAATATTTATGATTTTCGTGAATATTTGTCTTCTGGTAGGTCCCTAAAAACATTTCCAGGCGATTTTTTCCTGGCCATTTAGTTCTCCTTCAGAACTCTTATCCTTCATAAGTTGTCGTATTTGTTAGCCTACAAATATTCTCCCTTCAATTTTCGCGTCGCTGGGTTTGGGGAATTTCTCTTTCAGAAATAAAAATCCACTGACATCTTTGCGCATAGCTTTTACAAATTTTTTCATCAGAGCGAGTGCAACGGTGGTAAAAGTATGTCATCAGGGTTCACTAAAGGCTTATTTTTAACATTGTTACGGCCTGGAGTGACTCACGCTTGAGCCACATTTTATTTTAATAGTGACTTTTTTGTCTCTGCTGTCCCATTCGCAAATAAAACAGCAAAATTTTGTGTAATCAACATGTAGTCCTAGCAAATAATAACTTACTTTTAAATCGACACAAATTTACCCTGTAATTAAATGTTTCAAGAAGAAATCTCATATCTTCGTAAGTCTCTTCCATAGCAGAACCATGAGCAACCGGCACTGAAGGGTGTTCGTTTCTGTTATACAGCAAAGCTGCTTTCAAACTAGTTTTTGAGAAGTCAATGAACAATCGCCAGTGACTTGGATCATATTCAAAATTCAATAAATTTATCACAACATAAATATTATGACAATGGACTAAATCATTTACTATAGAAAAGTAAGCTTTTATTTCATCGTCACAATGTCGAAAATGAAATGAAAGTAAATTCCAGTCCTTCAATCTAAACCCCCAAAAGCTCAGTCTGTTTTTTAGACAAATTCAAATCACGTACTAAATCGTTTAAATCACTTTGTGTTTGCGGTTCATAACTTGGGTCACTATCTTCATATTCCTCATGCGAACAAGTTCTTCCGGACAGGAATTCCGACTATCTAGTTCTAGTCGATTTGGAGGCATCGGCACAAGCAGTTCGGGACTATTACCGAGGACAAGTTTGGATACTGGATAGTATGTTTGGACTTCGTTGTAATGCCTTTGATTTTTGTTTGGCTCAAATAAAAGCTCAACCTAATAGAAGTCTCACACACGTTACACAACATTTATCTGGGACCCAGAATTTATCTTGATGCTGCACAGTAAATCCAAAATATTCTTAAAAGCACTGTTCAATTAATGGGGTGAAATTTCGACGCTGGAATGTAAAAGCTGATTCTTCATACACATAACAAAACTGTCAGGGTTAGAACACTTTCGTTGCATATTTGCGATGTACCTAACGAAAATAAAATGTATGTTAGCTGATGCAATAGGTAAACAGCCGCCTAAATGACGTATTTTAGGTCAGAAATCTGTTAAAACTCTGTTTTTCCGTTAATCAGCTGTCGCCCCCATACGAACGACTACTCTCAGAAGTTGAGAAACTTGTGCGAGCTAAGGACTATCGAGGTCTTACCTTTTAACAAGTGATTCCTAACATGAATACATAGCTGTCACAAAAAAACTGTATGTGATTGAAACAAAATTATTATATATTTATAATGGGGGTAGGCCAACATAAACAAAACACATCACAAAGTTCATGTGACAAAAACACTGTGTAATGGACAGAAATGCATTAATTGAAATGACGTGAAACTCAACTATTCATTTGTTCATATGCTACTGACGAGATTTCTAGGTCATTGTTAAATGTCTAGACTTTCTACATCTGCGAATATATCAAACATGAAAGTTGAAGAATTAATAAAATAAAAAAGTTATACAGTGGAGAGATAGTCCTCGTGACCACACCTATCTGACAACTGGGGATTCACACGAAGAGTATTCTGTGAGTCAGAATTGAGAAACCACAAGACAATAGTGGAAAAAATATCAATCATGTTTGATCATGTTACAGAATAAACTGAAACTTCTACAAATACATGCAACTTTTACAAACACACTTCTACAATCCACGCACAACTTTGATTACTTTTGTTTTCATAGATACCTAATTAATCAGTTAATTGAAGCAAATGCAAACATTCAATTCGATTTACCAGATTTACACGACTTGCCCAATACCAAATTGATTTTTCGAAAATGATGGGAATGATAATAGTGTTTGTTACAGTCTGTCGATAGAAAATTATTCTGTTGATTTTTCCAAATAATTAACGTGTTGAAGAGCCCGGATAAAACATATGATTACCTTTAATTGACGATTGAAATTTTCCAAATGAAATATGTAAAAAAAATATGTACAAAATATCCATTTATCCATATTTGATCTCGAAAATCACATTGATAATGTCGATATCACTGATAGAAGTGTGGTCAGTAGTTATTTGAAATATTCTTCTCAACCTTTTTTGGCATACAGGCTGAACTCGAGCTATAGTCATTTTCATTTAAGAAAAGTTGAAGAAAAGTTCATAAGTGTCAATTATAAGGTATTTTCAAGTAAAAGTACTCCGGGACTGGCATGTTACAATTCCTGATAAGATTTTTTGAGGTTATTTTGTTCAAACTAATTGTATCCCCAGCTAGGAAGTGAAATGAAACTGATGGAAGCAAGAATGAAACGATTATTTTGTTCCTGATTATCTGTTTCAATTGTTTTTTGACATTTTTTATTTGTATAGTTGATGACATTCTTTAATTTTTGTCATTTTGTCATTTTTACATGTAAGTTTTTGTAATACATTGGTTAATTCATTTCATAACCCAACTTTACCTCAAATAGTTTTAATCGGATGGTTTTCGGTTTTTCCCAGTCCCAAATAATAATTTAAATTTGTCATACCTAGTCAGCATTCGGAGAAGTCGTCTAACGGTTTGTTTTTAAGAAACGTTGAGATACTATACGATATCCTCTTTCAACTTTGCAAATGGTCTTCATTTGATGATGTTGTTGACTTCAGAATGGAAATATCGTTTATTGAAAGCACTGTTCGTCGATGGTTTGCGAAATTTCGTTCCGGAGATTTTAGTTTCGACGATGAGCCCCGCAGTGGTCGACCTATAATAATCCAGGACGAGGATTTGAGGACCCTGGTGGAGACTGACCCATCTCTATATATTTTTCAAATAAAGTTTGTGAATATCAAATCGTGAGATGTAGTTAATGAAACAAGTAGAAGATATTTCCTGAATCATTTGTGTGTTTGAATGAATGAAATATAGCCTTCTATTATCGATGAGGTATTTTCATTGTTAGATAGAAAATTATATGTCAAATGACTGCATCATTGCCGGGTGACAGTTAGATATTACGTAGATGAAA